GTTGGCCACTGTGCGCACGCGGCCTCGCATCTCGCACAGGTAGACGCCGTCATCGTCCGCCTTCAGCCTGTGGATGATGAGGCGCCGGACGGGGCCCTCCTCGATCTGCTCGTACTTACGGCAGGGCAGCAGCCGCTGGTCCTCGCGGAACCAGGCCGTGGGGATGCGGGAGTTGGGGACCTTGCACTCCAGCACCACGATCCCCTGTTCCCGGCCCTCCACGTCCTGCAGCGGCCGGGAGAAGCGGAGACGCGGCTCTAGGGGGAGAGGAGAGACGCCAGGGGAGGTTCCGGTGAGGGCCGGGTCGGGTCGGCTCCTGCCGGCTGCACCCCGCCTGGTCCAGCCCCCCCAGGAGCTCCTGCCCTTTGCTCCTCTCTGAGGGTCGGCGAGGAGGAGTCGCAGAAGAACCCACCCGAGGGCTGGAGTGATGCTCCCGCGGGCGGGGCGCTTGCCTGGCATGCTGCCCTCCCGGGTTCAATCTCCGGCATCCCATCAAGTCCTCTGAGCCTCGCCTGGGGTGATCCCTGAGCACAGAGCCGGGAGGAAGGCACGAACACAACTAGGTGTGGCCCAAATAAAACCAAAGAGAACAAAAGGAAAAACCCAGTGGGGCCCCTTTCGAATCTGACCTTAATCCTGACCTTGGCCAGTCACGTCACCTTGAGCAAGGTCATTTTAGGGCTCCTGAGCTTCCATTTTCTACTCGTAAAGCATGGAGAGGGAGGGAAGGGCCTTGGGGGTGTCCCAGTTAAGGACATCTTCCTATTTGTTTGGGGGGGTCACAACCAGTAGCACTCATGAGATACTCCCAACTGAGTGCTCAGGGGTTACTCCTGATGGTGCTCAGGGGAGCAGGCTGTCCTGGGGGACTGAACCCAGGCCTTCTGCATGTGAAGTTTTTACATTTGCCTTTTTTTTACTCTTTCCTTTGGCTCCTTGTTCATTTACTTATGTACCTTATTATTATTATTATTATTATTATTTTAAAAACAAAATAGTTTTCAGAGGTGCTACTGGGAATCGAACCCAGGACCTCACACATGCAAGGCAAGCACTGTGCTACTAAGTTCCCAGCCTCCATCCCTCACGTTTAAACTGAGACCCTCCAAGGCAATGACAGAGTCAGAGAACTGGTTTTTGGTGTGGGGGCCTTTGCCAGCGATGCTCAGGGCTTCCTCCTGACTCTGCACTCAGGAACCACTCCTGGGGCGAGAACCAGGGTCACGGTGTCATGGCGAGCACCCTACCCTCTGTACTCTCTCTCCAGTCCCTGAGTTGGAAAGTCTTTGTCTAGCACTTTCAGAGTGCTTAGTCTACTTTCAACCTGCATCTTAAAACCGGAGGGCCTGAAGAAGGACGTGAGAGGGAGTTCGCTCCTGTGGGGTATGCTGAAGCCCCCGGAGGTGCCCTGGCCTACCCTGAGTCGGGGGAGTCACTGGGATCAGCCAGGCCACCATGCAGGTGGTACAGGTCCCGCAGGCTTCGCTGCCTGCCAGGTGGCGCTCAGGAGATCTGCCAACATTCTTTGCTCTGGTCGGGGAAAGAATTGGGCAACAGCTACTGAAGGTATAGCCCAGGGAGCTATGCTGAGCTACAATCAATTTGTAGTGTGACTTTGGGGGGTCTTATTTCCCCAGGATTTTCTGTTTATGAGCAATAGAAGTGACTTGGGTATTGGTGATGGAGAGGACTAGAGACTCAATTTTGGGATTGAAATTCCCTGGGGGGGGGGGGGGCGGAGAAAGAGAGAGAGAGAGCAGTGGGGTGCTTTTCTTGCATACGTCTGATCTGGCTTTGCTCCCTGGAACCACATGCAGCCGAGCAGGACCCACCAGGAGAGATCCCCGAGTGCAGAGCCAGAAATCAGCCTTGAGCACCGCTGGATGTGGTTCCCAAAACCAAAATACGTAAGTAAATTTCCTCTCCTTTGTCTTTCCTCTCCTGAGGATTTGAATGGGAAGAGCTGATACCTGCTGGTTTTACTTTTATTTTCTCCTACATGTTTACCTTTTGTGTGAATCAAGAATGATTGCAACAGTTTCTGTAGCCAGATGCCCCCGCTGGGACTCGCAGAGCAGGCCTGGGGGTGAACCCTGCCTTCACTGTGTATTCAGGGGTCAGAGAGAGTACAGGGGTCAAGGCACTTGCCTTGCCCAGGGCTGCCCCTGGTTCCATCCCTGTTATCACACAGGCTCTCTTGAGAACCAGGAGTGAGGGCCGAGCAAGTGAGGTGTGGAAGAAAAAAAAAAGAAAAGAAAAAAGTAACAAAATGTGTATTCAGTAAAATAATCCCTTTTCACTGATTAGCTAAAGTTAATAAGTGCATGTTGGAAATCTGGACTTAGACACCCATCAAAGGCTTCTTTTACCTCTGGGGGAGGGGATATATCACTCCCACCTCCAACTGGGTTTCCACTGGGGGAGGAAAGCAACCAAGGTAAACCCCGTGCTGAAGAGCACTGGGCTGGCACAGCCTGGGCATACCAAGGGCTTCCCAAAGCTATTTATCAAAAGGTGGTTCCCACCACAAACTTTTGAATCACTTGCGGGAGTTTTTGAAGTTCCAGGGGATGGGGGGGGGGTACCCTATGAATCCCAGTGCCTGGGAGGCTGGAGGTTGGGAGCAAATGGGTTTGTAATTTTTCTTTTGTTTGTTTGTTTTTCTTTGGTGCCGGGAATCCAACCCGGGTCCTCACACACCGAAGGGCGTTGTTGTGTTGTGCTACAGAGCCGCATTCCGGGCCCTGCCAAGGGTGTTTTGGTCCTCGGCTCCCCTCCCCATAGCATCCTCGGGAGGGGGACGGGAGGAGCCGGGTCCCCCGAGGCCCCTGTCCGGCCGCCCGGGGGCGTCTGGTACCTTTCACGTGCAGCTGCACGGCGCTGAGCGTCTGGCCGGCGGAGTTGCGCGCGGCGCACACGTACAACCCGCGGTCCTTGGCCTGGCAGTAGAGCACCTTGAGCACGAAGCCGCCGTCGCGATCGCGGTACATGAGGCGGCGGCGGTCGGGGAGCAGAGGGCGGCCCTCCCAGTGCCACTCGATCTCGGGCTCGGGCTTGCCCATCACGTAGCAACGGAACTTGGCGTGTTTGCCCTCGTTCACCCAGAAGGTCTTGGGCGCGCACTTGCTGGGCTCCGCCGGCGCCGCGGGTTGCGGGGCGGCGGCGGCGTTGTCATCGTCGTCGGGGTCTTCGGTGGGACTCCCGGGGGGCTGCTGCACCTGGAGCAGCGCCCCGGCCTGTGCGTGGCCGTGCGCGTTGCGGGCGTGGCACACGTACACGCCCGAGTCGGGCAGGCGCGCCGCGGGGATGCGCAGCGCCAGGCTGGCGACCCGGCCGTCCTCGGTTCGGCCGGGCTCCAGCGCGAAGTGGCCGCTGTCCCACACCTCGTCCAGGGCCAGCCCGTCCTTCTCCCAGTACAGCGTGGGCGCGGGCACGCCCCCCACCTGGCACGCCAGCACCACCTCGGCGCCCCGCGGCACCCACTGCGACCGGGGGCCCGCGAGGAACACCGGGGGGCCCTCGCCCGTGCCCGGCGGCGCCGGCGGGCCCTCGGCGGCCGGCGGCTCGGGCTCGGGCTCGGGCTCGGGCGCCGGCGGCTCCAGCACGGTCACGGCGGCCGCCGCGTAGGCCTCCCCGGACGCGTTGCGCGCGCGGCACACGTAGACGCCCGCGTCGGTGGGCAGCGCGCCGCTCAGCAGCAGCCCGTGCTCCGCGCCGTCCGCGGGGAAGCTCAGGCGCTCGGAGGCGGCCAGCGGCTGCCCGCCCTTCTCCCACACCACGGTGGGCGGCGGCTCCCCCAGCACCACGCACTTGAGCTCGGCCTCGGCGCCGCTCACCACCCGCACGGGCCGCGGGAAGCGCAGGAAGCACGGGGGGCTCCCCTGATCGCCCGAACCCGCCTTCATCGCTGCAGACTGCGGGGGAGGGGGCTAGGGGCGAGGTGGGAGTGAGGAGGGGGAGGTGGGTGGGGAGGGGAGGGGGGGGCGAACGCGCCCTTGCGGACGCGCAAAGACCACGCGAGACGAGAGAGAGGGTCCTGAGCCCCGGCAGGGGGTGGGCGGGGAAGTGGAGGGGAGGGTGCGTCGTCTGGGCACCGGGGACCCTCGCAGCTTGCCCCCTCGGCCGCGCGCGCGCTCCCCCACTCGCCTCCTTACCCTGCGCCCGGAGCTGCAACTCTGGGCGGCGGCGATTCCCGGGCCCAGAGCCCAGAGCTCAGGGGGCAGTCCTTCCTGTCTGCCTTTGCGGCGAGGGGGCCCCCGGCAGCCCGGCTTCCTGCTCGGGAGAGCCTCGTCCCAGCCCCCTCCCACACGGTCGGCCGGGGCCTCACTCCCCTCCTCCCTCCCCTCTCCGGCTGCCAGGTCCCCAACCGCCCGCCCGCCCGCCAGGCTGGGCCGCCTGCTACTGCCAATCCCAAAAATATTCTCTGATGACACAGCTGGAGGACGAGAGCCCAAGGCTGGCTCCTCCAGGCTAAGTATAGAGCAAGCCGGGGACCCCCTGCCCCGCGCTGGAACCCCAGTTCCGGCCCCGACCTCGGACCCCCGCCTCTCCCTCGACTGGCCTCGCAGCTGCCTCTTGGAAGGTGGCCGCAGAAGGCCGGAAGAGTTGAGATTTCCCTGCGAAGGAACACTTTTAGGAACACGCAGACCCCCCCAGACCCCCAACTTCTTCCTGCCGCCTCCACCCCACTCCCCCAGTCTGCTCTGCTGGGCACTGGGATGAGACTCCTATGTGTGTGTGTGTGTGTGTGTGTGTGTGTGTGTGTGTCTCCCTGTCTGCGGGTCTCAGGGGGAAGGGGTTGCATTGCTGGGGGGGCAGGTCACTTGGGGTGAGCCCCTCCCCAGCCCCTCCCCACATTCCTGGCGGGACTGGGAGATAAGACTCAGGGCCACAGACATGTGCGTCAGAGATAGGAGGTCTCAATGCCACGGGCAGGGGCGACGGGGCCGTGGAGCGTGGGAAGGCGCGGGAGATGGGTTAAAAAGAGGGCTGGGGGTGGGATGGGGAGGGGAGAGTGGGCAGGTCCCCCACACGCCCTGAAAGAGGGGGCACCGGGCAGAGCGTGGGCTCACTGTGGCCGGCCCAGGTGAGCCATGCGGTCCCAGCTGTCACTGCCCTTGTGGCTGCTTCTGCTGCTGGCCCCTCCGGGGGACCACGGCTGCCAGGAGCCGGAGCTGGATCGGGAGCTCGTCCTGGCCAAGGTGAGGGCCCTGTTCTTGGATGCCCTGGGTCCCCCAGCAGTGCCCCGGGAGGGTGGGAACCCCGGAATTCGACGGCTGCCCCGAAGACACACCATGGGGCGCAGGGTCTTGGAACCCGAGGTGGAGGATGTCTCACAGGCCATCCTGTTCCCAGCCACAGGTAAGAAGGGGCGGTCGGGCGGAGAAGGGGTGCCGTTCCTGGTCCAGCCAGCTGGGGTCAGGGAGCGGGGCGAAACTGGATTTGAATCCCACACGGGCTAGAACCTAAGGCCAGCCTGTGGCAAAGACCCCTCTCAGGAGTAAGGGAAATGGGGAGGCTGGAGAGTGGGACTCGTGGGAGGCAACAGGGAGCTGAGCTTTAAAAATCAACTTTTTAAAATCAGATTTTATTTTATTTTATTTTTTGGCTTTTTGGGTCACACCCGGCAACGCACAAGGGTTATTCCTGGCTCATGCACTCAGGAATCACTCCTGGCGGTGCTCGGGGGACCGCATGGGATGCTGGGAATCGAACCCGGGGTTGGCTGCGTGCAAGGCAAATGCTCTACCCACTGTGCTATGGCTCCAGCCCCGATTTTATTTATTTATTTATTTTGCTTTTTTTTTTTTTTGGGATCACACCTGGCGATGCTCAGGGGTTACTCCTGGCTCTGCACTTAGGAATTATTCCTGGCGGTGCTCAGGGGACCAGAAGGGATGCTGGGAATCGAACCCGGGTTGGCCATATGCAAGGCAAACACCCTACCCTCTGTGCTATTGCTCCAGCCCCTAAATTTACTGATTTTAAAGACCGGGTTGTGCCATCTTGCTGTTGGATATAAAAAGTAGACTGAGTAATATTGCCGGTGCTGGTGTCTGCCCCCGCTCAGGGCACCATTTCCCACGGACAGATGGACAGAACTCCGGGTTGGTGGAACATGGGCTGGGTCACTCGCCTGAGGGAATATTAGCGGGTGACACCATTGGGGAGAGACCTTGGGTTTTTGTAGACCTTTAATGAGGAAGTGGCAGAGGGTGTCTTTGTCACTTCTCCAAAGACTGGTAATAGTGCCCCTCCGCCTGGCCGCCCAGGCGACTTACACAGGACCCCTCCTGCTGAGAGCGAGGGTTGCGGGGGTGCCAGCTGGCGGGGGAGGGGGGCTGCCCTCTCTCTTTCTTTCCCGTTCTCCCATAGGCACGGGCTGTGAGGATGAGCCGGGGGCCCAGGACGCCGAGGAGGGCCTCTTCACCTACGTGTTCCGGCCGTCCCAGCACACGCTCAGCCGCCAGGTGACCTCGGCGCAGCTGTGGTTCCACACGGGCCTGGACAGGCAGGCTGCAGCTGCCGCTGCCAATAGCTCCGAGGAGCTGCTCGGGCTCCTGGCACTGTCGTCAGGGGGGCCTCAGGCCGTGCCCACGACCTCTGGCCGGGCACCCTCTCGCTGGGCCGTGTTGCATCTCCCTGCCTCGGCCCTGCCCCTGCTGGCGCAGCCCGTGCTGGTACTGATGGTGCGCTGCCCGCTCTGTCCCTGCTCGGCCAGGCCCGAGGCCACCCCCTTCCTGGTGGCCCACACCCAGGCCCGGGCGCCCAGCACGGGGGACCGTGCCCGCCGCTCCACGCTGGTGCCCTGGCCCTGGACTCCATCAGCCCTGCGCCTGCTGCAGCGGCCGCCTGAGGAGCTGGCCCTGCACACCAACTGCCACCGCGCCGCCCTCAACATCTCCTTCCAGGAGCTGGGCTGGGAGCGCTGGATCGTGTACCCTCCCAGCTTTATCTTCTACTACTGCCACGGCAGCTGCGGGCTGCCCCCGGCTCCTCCCGACCTGCCCCTGCCCGCCCCTGGGGGCGTCCCCCCAACGCCCCCCACCGGGCCGCTCTCCCTGCTGCCTGGGATAGGGGCGCAGGCTTGCTGTGCTGCCCTCCCAGGGACCATGAGGCCCCTGCATGTGCGCACCACCTCAGACGGCGGCTACTCCTTCAAGTACGAGACCGTGCCCAACCTCCTCACGCAGCACTGCGCCTGCATCTGAGAGCCTCTGTTGCCATGCCCACGGAGGAGTGGAAGGGGGAGAGACGGCGCTCCTGCTCCTGCCCCCACCCCCGCTTCTACCTGAGGGCTGCCCCACCCCTGTAACATGTGACCATAAGCAAGGGCTCCCCTCCCTTCACCTCTGTAACGTGACAATAAACAAAGGCTCCTCATCCTTCACCCCTGTTACACGTGACAGTGAGCAAGGGCTCCTCTCCCTTCACCCCTATAATATGTTATAGCAAGCAAGGGCTCCTCTCCTTTCACCCCTGTTACACGTGACAGTAAGCAAGGGCTCCTCTCCCTTCACCCCTGTAATATGTTCCAGTAAGCAAGGGCTCCTCTCCCTCATCCCTGTAACACATGACAATAAACAAGTGCATTTGACTCGGTGCCTCTCAGGCTCACTGTTGTGTGTGGGGTAGGGGCCGTGGGCCTCGGCGGAGCAGGGGCTTATGGGATTGCAGGTCCTTCAGCTTTTCTTCTGGAGACTTGGGGTTTGAAGGCAGAGAAACCGGATGTGTATCTGGCGAAAGTGCCCCAAGCTCCCAACAGTCCCTTGGGAGGCAGAAGGGGCCCTTGAGTAGGGCTTGCTGGCCTGCCCGGCTGTGGGGCCGCCTGCCTGGCCGCCTCCAGAGGTCCCTGGAGCAACCGGAACCTGTCCCTCCCCCTTGCCCCCCAGCTCCTGCCTGGCTCTGTCTGAGCAGAGGGACACTGGGCTGACCATTGGGGCGAGTCTGAGGCCAACGGGAGAGTTTGACTTCTGCTCCCCCTCCCCCATCCGATGCCCAGAGCCAGCCAAGTTTGGGGTGCCCCCAGCCCCTGGGTGGGAGACGAGGAAAGATTTGGGCATTGGGCATTGACAGCAGCTGTACATAACAAGGGAAGGAAGGTGGGATGGTGGTGACCCAGGGGTGACCTCAGTTGGCCGGGGGACCTGGGGTCTCCGGGAACTGCTCTGTCCTTGAAGGTGACCTGCGCAGACACAACCAGGGCCTGGGCGCTGGGCACACGCGTCCTCCCCGCCGGGGCGGGGGAGCCCAGGGCCTCTCCTCTCCCGGTGCCTCCTCCCTGTCTCCTGCTCTCCCGCCTTATCTTCCCACCTTCCTGGCGGCGGGGTGCAGGGGTGCGTGACCTAAGAGGGGAGCACTTTCAGAGGGCAGAGCAGAAACTCCCACCCTCCCCACAGTGGGGCAGAAAGGGACGAGGGGGAGGGGACCAACACCTTTCCTTGCTTGGGGGAGCAGAAGGAAGCCCAGTTTGGGCCTTATGAGTACCCTGGGGAGCCCCCCACCCCCAAACCTTGCTCCAGTGTGAACTCCAGGTGGTGGAAGCTGATCTCTAAGGAGACCCTGTTCCGATGCCGGAACCTTCTGGTCACTGGCCCCCGGTCTTTCCTAGCACCTTCATCAGCATTGCTGTCCCTGTGTGCTTCTGGGGGTGGGGGAGGGATTCCTGCTGGGGCTGTGGGTGGGTGGGGGGCATGAGCAGCGCTGGGAACGGGGAGCCTTTGCTCGGGCCTGTCTGAACTCGAATCTCCGCATCTGGCTTCATGGCCAGACTTCTCGGCATTGGGGCCGGAGCAATAGCACAGCAGGTAGGGCGTTTGCCTTGCACGCGGCTGACCTGGGTTCCATCCCCAGCATCCCATATGGTCCCCCGAGCACCACCAGGAGTAATTCCTGAGTGCAAAGCCAGGAGGAACCCCTGAGCGTTGCCGGGTGTGACCCAAAAAGCAAAAACAAAAAAAAAACACCCCAAAACCCAGACTTCTTAGCATTCTTCGACCCCCCCCCCCCTCCACTTGGCTTCCACTCTCTTCTCTCTCCTAGGGTTGCGAGGACCCAGTGCTGGGCAGCGTCTTCCTGCTCTAGGCCTGGGGGCGGGGGTCTGAGGGTGGGGACATGGTGTCTTGCCACCCCACCCGTCAGCAGATAGGGATGGCACAGTTCCCCCGGCATGGAGCCAAAGGAGAAAAAGTACAACTCGCCCCTCTGCTGGCAAGTCTTTTATTTATTAATTTTCATTTGGGGGGGGTCATACCCAGTGGTGATGAGAGCTGACTCCTGGCTTTGCACTTGGGGATCACTCATGGTGTTCAAGGGGACCACGTGTGGTGTTGGGACCAAACTCAGGTCAGCAGTGTGCAAGGCAAACGCCTAGCAAGGCTGTACTATCTCTACGGCCCCAGCATGGTGAGTCTTCCAAAGCCAAAGGTGAGCATCACGGATCACGGTCCTCCCATTGTTCATCGATTTGCTTGAGCGGGCCCAGTAACGTCTCCATCATAAGACTTGTTGTTACTGTGTTTGGCATATGGAATACGTCACGGGGAGCTTGCCAGGCTCTGCCGTGCGGGCGAGATACTCTCTGTAGCTTGCCGGGCTCTCCGAGAGGGGCGGAGGAATCGAACTCGGGTCGGCCATGTTGGCCGCTTGTAAGGCAAACACCCTACCGCTGTGCTATCGCTCCAGCCCAAAGCCAAAGGTGCCCATTCTAAACTGGGGGTCGGAGAGACGGTACAGAGGGGAGGGCACTTGCCTTACTTGTGGCTGAACTGGGTTCCATCCCTGGCGTTATCCCATGTGGTTGCCTGAGCACTGCCAGGAGTAATTCCTGAGTGCAGAGCCAGGAACAACCTTTGAGTATCACTGGGTGTGTGGCCCCCCAACAAACAATAAAGAAAATAAAGAGCCATCTTAGGGCGGGGGTGTGGTTCAGTGGTCAGCGCTTGCCTGGATGTGTGAGGACCTGGGTTCTAGCTTTGATTCAGCAGGGGGAAAAGAAAGAAGGAAGGAGGGAAAGAGGGAAGGAAGGAAGAGAAGGAAGGAAAGAGAAGGCGGGAAGGAAAGGAAGGTGAGGAGGGAGGGAGAAAGAATATTTTTATTTCAAAATTTTTGGTTTGTGCAGTTCCTGGCTCTCTCTACTCAAGGCTCACTCCTGGCAGGGCTCATGGGACCAGGTAGAATGCCGGGGATCAAACTCAGGTTAGTTCGGGTGCAAGACAAGCCCCTTATCCCTGCACTATTTTTATGGCCCGAGATTTTTCAATTCTATAATTCTTTGTGTGTGTGTGTGTGTGTGTGTGTGTGTGTGTTTTGGAGGTTTGACTTAACAAAACTCAAGCTTGGAACTTCTACCATGGAACCTAACTTTTTTTCTTAATAATAATTAATAATAATTTGGTGAAATTCCCCTAATCAATCCCCAAGTCTAGAAGCCATTGGTTTGGGTTATTTCTTCTAGCATCTCAGACCTTAGGTTTTGCTAACTTAGAAAAAAAACATGCTCTTTGGGCCAGAGCCATAATACAGTGGATGGATGCTTACTTTGTATGAGGTCAACCTGGGTTCAATCCGCAGCATCCTGTATGGTTCCCCCTCCTCACCCCACCACCCCAGCTCACTGTGATTCTTGAGTGCAGAGCCAGGAGTGAATCCCAAGCATTGCTGGGTGTGGCCCAACAAGACAAACAAACAAACAGGAAAACTGTCACTATCACTGTCACTGTCCTCCCGTTGTTTATCAATTAGCTCAAGCGGGCCCAGTCATGTCTCCATCGTGAGACTTGTTACTGTGTTTGGCATATTGAATATAGGAAAACAAAAGAAAAAAACTTATTCTCCACCAAAAATATCCTAGCCAGGAGATAGGGGCTGTAGACTTCAGCGGTGACCCATCCCCAGCGCTGACCACTGGAAACACCCTGAATAGTTTTCATTTGAAGTCACTTTGAACAGAAAACTGAACTCAAGCTTAGCTTAAGGGGGAATAAAAACAACAAAAAGAGGCTCACAGGCACAGCCGGCTGAAGAATAGCCCAGGGGCTGGGAGGTGGCTTAAGGGGAAAAATACATTCCTGAGTCTCTGGCTTCCATGCCAGACATTGAGTGGCCCCCAGCACCACTCAGAGGGGTCCCCACTATGATTGAAAAGCTATGGGGCTCCACTATGACAAGGACAGTTGGAAATTATCTCTCTGGACAAGAATTGATGCTGAAAGGAAGGGAAGGGATAGACATGATAATTGTTCAGTATCTGTATTGCAAACCATAAAGTCCAAAAGGTGAGAGAGGGAGGGAGAGAGAGACAGAGACAGAGAGAAAGAGAGAGACTGAGAGAGACAGAGACAGAGAGACAGAGAGAGACAGAGAGAGACAGAGAGAAAGAGAGAGACAGAGAGGGACAGATAGAGACAGAGAAAGACAAAGACAGAGAGAGACAGAGACAGAGACAGAGAGGAAATATCTACTGTAAAGGCAGGCGGGAGGCAGAGAATGGCAGGAGGAAAACTGGGGACATTGATGGTAGTAAATGAACACTGGCGAAGGGACAGGTATTAGAACTTTGTATGACTGAAACCCAATCCTTAACAGCTTTGTAACTGTATAGCTTTGGTGATTCAATAAAAAAAAAAGTGAGGTGTGTGTGTGGGGTGAGGAAGTTTGGGGCTAGAGAGAGAGTACAGAAGTACAGGGGTGAAAGTACTTGCCTTGTACTTAGCCAATCCCGGTTCAATTCCTGGTACTGCATTGGGCCCCCTGAGCAATCCATCAAGAGTGACCTCTGAACAGAGCATTAGGAATAAGCCCTAAGTACAGCCACTGTGTGTGTGTGTGTGTGTGTGTGTGTGTGTGTGTGTGTGTGTGTGTGTGTGTGTTTGTGTGTATGCATGCGCAAAAAATAAACAAGGCATGACTTGATGCTGGGTCTCGGCCGGAGCTGCCGAGACCCACGCACAACTGAAGACCCACAGAACAAGATAAGCGGAACTCTCTGAGACCTCGGACTCCAGGCTCGGCGGACCCAGGGACAGAGCTTCTCTGCTTGCTCCCACCACCACAGGTGACAAAGGGATTCTAATCAGGAGCCCCACCCTACCCTGCCCTGTCTGCTTCCATCAACCACCCAGGGATCGAATTGTGCACAGGAGACCCACCCTACCCAGATAAATACCCCACTGGCAGACTTCCACTCTCAACACTACTTCCACTACCCAGCCGTCGCCACATTCCAGGACGCTTTCTGGACCCGCGCGACACATCATAAAACACTAAATACCCATCTTCTGGATTTGTCGTACCATATTTGATAGGGTTCAAATATGGTAACACCTACAAGGGTGATTAGAGGTCACCCCAAAAGCCTCTATCCCTCTCGGAAAGACTGGCAAGCTACCGAGAGTATTCCGCCCGCACGGAAGAGCCTGGCAAGCTATCCGCTGTGTATTCGATATGCCAAAACCA